AACCTGGGATTTCAAGAGGATGTTCCCTGTCCAACTATAGCGTGGATAATTAAGTTCCCGAAATTCAAGGAGCAGTATATATAAGAGGTTTTTAGCTAGCCGAATTTCGAGTAAACTTATTACAGCACGAAACACTGCAAAAATGCATGATCGCACGAGGCCCCCCAGTACGCGTCGCCAATGATTTACTTATAACATTCCAGCGAGATCAAGTCAAGAATTGCTGAAGACTTAGCAGCCAAAATTTCCGTGTGGTACTTCGGTCAGATTCATTTCGTAGTGTTCTTCAACCATGAGACTGGCAACTTCTCCAGTTCTTTCGACTAACGATACACTTCCGCGTGTTTTTAACTACTATCTAGCGCGACGTTCGTTTCTTCTGCAAAGATTACCATCTCAGCGGTTCTCCTACCAGAAGCACTTGGCAACGCCTTTGCCGTTTCGAGTTGTCCTTGTGGGCGCTGAGCATCAAGAGCATCATCGCCTCATTTCTAACACTGCTGTCCTTAGGCAAAAGTGAGATGATTATCGACTGGGGATTCAGTTCTCTGTCCCGAATAAGCTGGTGCGATGGCGGTTGGTTTGGATATTTCCCTGATATAAGAGGAGCAGTTGGAGCAGCTGTAATTCATAGTCTGGATCTTAATCTATAAAGCTGACAACTTTTCCAGTTACTTTGTCCAGTACTCTTTCTCGTTGTGATCAGCGTGCTTTCCCTCCTCTGCATTGTCCGAGAGAGTGCGAACTTAAAGTTTTCGTTTGCGTCATTTCCGCTGTTACCTATCCACAGTTATGTTGAAATATCAAATTCGAACTATCTGACACACGCAGTGAAAAGCAAATTTTTGCTACACTTTGCCAAAGTTGTTATTAAAACGGTCAATTTTTATGCGCTTTTGCATATTTATAAAAACGCCTCAAAAAATCCAGACTGGAACACACAGGCTTGCCTGTGCGACATGCGTTTTTGCACCAGACTTGAAGTATTCAGGTCGTTAACTGCATGAATGGCTGCTGCTTTATATTTACCTTTTGCGTTCACTAGCGTAAATCATCGTAAATTTTGTATAAAGAGGATGAATAATTCCCATTTAACGGCCATTCTTTGAAAATGACCTAGCTGTTCAGTGAGTAATTCTCCCGCCAGAAATTTCACATGCTCTTACGTGAGTACCACTCGTACTGGCGGGTTGGATTTGAAATCTTTAAGTCACACGTGGACAGGGAATATACCCTTAAAATTTTTAGCCTTCCAGCTTTTCTGGTTGGCGAGTTACCAATTTTTCCAGCAAAATATTCACGTGTCCATATATAAAAGCTACACACACCTAGAGGCTGAATTTGAAATTTTTAGCTGACACATACGCAGGGAATATCCCTGCAAAGTTTCAGTTTTTTATTCTTTCTGATTCCCGAGATCGCCTTCTCGCCCAAAAAATTTGTATGTTTCTTTAGAGAGCCTGTATGCGGCACCCAGGCATACGCGGGTGGTGATATTAAAGCGGAAGGGCCGCACATGGTGTGGACACATATTCCCGAAGTTTCAGCTTTCTAGCCTTTCTGCCACTCGAGTTGAAAGTGGGTGAAAAAAGTGCGAACGCGCAGGCAGAGTCACTGATACACAACTTCTTGCCAACATGCGTTTTTGCATTTGCACAAATGTAATAAATAGCGAAGCGCACCAGGGTAGCCAGTGCGATCATGCGCTTTGCGCAGTTTCACCCAGCGGACGTTTGTTTATTAAAAATATAACTGTTTTACACTTTCGTATATGGAAAAACAGTAGAAATTCTAGCTAGCTCCTAAGGTGAAGAATTTCCTGCTGAAAATTTCACATGCCAGTACGTGAAAGCTGAATTTGAAAAAATGAATGGGGAACATCCTTCCAAATTTCAACCTTGTAATTTTTCGGCCTCCGAGCTAGCGACTTTCACATCACAATTCTCAAATGGTCTTACGTAAGACCTCTGCATACTTGGGAGCTACATTTGAGTTTGTGAGATACCTGCAGCGGCAGAAAATATCGTCCTGAAATTTTAACCTTCTAGCTTCCATGGTTCCCTGGATAATTTTCCGCCAAAACATTCACGAAGCAGTACGCGATACCCAAACGCACGGGAAAACTGAATTTAAATTTTCTGGGTCGCACGTGGTCTGGAGGCATACCTATAAAATTTCAGCTTCCTATCCTCCGCGGTTAATAAGATAATTGATTTTGCCCGCTAATAATTTACGAGGCCCTGCTTGTTACCCGCAGGCACGGGAAGGTTGAGTTTAAGTTTTCTGGGTCGCGCGTGGGCAGAGGACATACCTATAAAATTTCAGCTTCCCAATTTCCGTCGTTCCCGAGCTAATGATTTTACCCGAAAAGCTTTTGCGGGGCCGTACGTGTTACCCGCGGGTACGGAAAGGCTGAATTTAAATTAGCCGCGTCACCTGTTGGCTGGGAACACTATACTAAACTTTCAGCCGCCTAGCTTTTGTGGTTCCTGAGTTGAAAGTGCGCGACAAAATGTGGGACACATACAGACAGCCCCGTGACAATGTGCTTTTTGTACTGCTATTACACAGCACAAAACGCGTATGGGCAAAAGACTGTTTGTTTGTGCGTTCGTATTTTGTTATCCACCCTCATCTCAGCAACTAGTGAAGCTAGTAACGTTCGGAGCATACTCCCACTCTGGGTGCGGCTTCCATTTTAATATTGTCATTCACGCAACGCTTGATCTTACGTTTGGACATGTAAGTCTTTTGGCGGGAATGAGACTTCGGGATCTACACAAAGCAGGAAGCTGAAATTTTGCAGGAATATTCCACGTTCTTCTGTGAACTGAAGATTTCAAACTTGGCTTTAACATGCGTCTGCGTCATGAGTATAGACAAATCAGAGTTAAAATTTCGACGTCATTAGTAAAATGCCATCCCTGAAACAGTTGATTGGAGCACTCTAGCTTTTTAAAAGTTTGTTTTTCATGCATAGGCATGTTAGCGAAGAATGTGCATTAGTGTTCGTCTGTGTCGCGTCAGAAGATTTCATGCAGGGAGCTGAAACTTTATGGGGGTATTCTCTGTCTGCGCGACCGAAATATTTCAAATTCAGCTTTAAAGCACTCCTAGTTCTCGCGCGTGCGCGCAAGTGAAAGTTCAATTTGGGACACTGTTGGCATCCAATCAATTCAGTAGCCAGACTGAGTTGGAGCAGCACTTTTCTGAAAATGTTTGGATGATCATGTGGGGGCCACCAAACGTAAGATGGGCTTCTGCCTAGGCATGGATCCTACGTACACGCGTATAAAATGTTCAAACTGCAGCGCAGCGGTCATACTCCGTAGTACAGGCTATCTCTCCACAGGATGGAATCATGGCAAGCCTGGTGCATCACTGTCTGAGTTATTTCTAATCCACATAGAGCGCCGGAGAATTTGCTAGAAGATGAAAGTACAAAATTGAAGGGCGCGAAGGAAAAAGACAAATCGACGAAGTTTTCGAGCAACATCGGGCCCGGGCAGACTCAACAAAAGCAGACTAAAAACAACAAGCCCAATAAACAAAAACGAGTCAGAAGTAAGGCTACTACAAACAAGTCAGAGCAACAAGCGACGATTAAAGCTACTATGGCGCAATCGGACCAGCAGTCGAAGGTTCCAGGACAAAATGACCCGTCTGTTTTGCCTCTTGAAGGTGTTCGACCTGAGCAGAAGCCATTTTTTGAAATGATAGAGATGATCAACAAGAAGTCGAAGAATTTACAAAAACGCAAGGTTTATTTTAATTGGCGATACTTTTTCTTTGTTTATGCTGAATAATGAAATCTTTACATTTGGCAATAATCACCGCTGCACTTCTGTTATTCTAATGCTGAACGTGTCGGTGTGTCCATGTCAGCTCCATTTGTGGAGCGGATCTGGGAGTACTTTACGGAGCAACTGCATCAGCCGTGGTGTTTTGCGTCAAAGTGTTGGGCTGAATACAAAGAAAATTGTTTCCAATTCTGGGAGGATAAAAGTTCATATATTTCACCTGCCCATGCCATCTGTCTTACCAGCTTTTCATAGTTTTAGCAGGCGTTGCAGGGAAATCCAGTTCTTTAGGGGAATGATAACTTTGGGACATTTGATTGGATAAGATCACAGTCAAGGTTTACCGTACTGCAAGCAGCAAAATTTTGCAAGGGAAGGTAAATGGAAATAACTCCTTGCTTCAAGTTTGTTATTTTTCGTAAATTTTGAAAAGACTTTCACTTTATGAGCTGTGTAGCGCATTCTACCCGTACTACTGGTATGATGGCAATCGAGGCACTGACGAAGCATGGCTGGATTTCGCACCCTGATAATCAGGCATATTCCAGTAGCCTGAGTGTGTCTGGTATAGCACTTGCAGTTCTGAAAGAATGGGGGGAAGTCAGAGTCTCCGAAAAGATGGCTTGCTCAGGGCTTGCGCGATTTTGACAGTACAGCAGCGAGTAAAACAGGTAGGATGAACACCGAGGAATTCAAGGATAATCCTAATATTGGGCTATGGAAATGAGTGTAAAGCCGAATTTGTAGACCTAAATGTCCCAAAAGTGTAACAAAATGGAATTTGAGCTGATAAACATAGTAGAAGGCCCTGACATGCTGTGCGACCGAGTCATCACCTTAAAAATCCAATTTCCAGCCTGAACTCTTACGAACGAAGGAACTGATAACTGTCGTGCTTAAATTATGAGTTTTCAGCACACTTGAATTCTAAGAGAAGAAAATTAGCTGAGTCTTGCTAATTCTCTTACTCCATCTGGCAAATGATGTTTGACATTACCAGATGTTCACAGCGAATTTTTTTCTGATCAGTTCTCCCCCGATTTCAGAAGCGACTGGAAAAATTCGGCAGAAATTTGCGTCTTGGGAGAGCAATTACAGATGATCAGGTATCTCGTCTCTCTTTTTCTTTTTTCGCTTAATTCGGGCCATTACTTGTTCTGACACTAAGGGTGTTTTCTACTCAGTTAGCATCGTAGACTTAATTACTGCATTCTGCTCGCTTCTATTCAACTCCTGTGGGCTGCATCAGAAAATTTTCGGACTTACAGTACGAACTCCTTGGTACTGCTAAGATTTAACTGTGCGGGATTGCTACTGTTCCAGCCCTGCTTTCTTCTTGTATCCGTCTTTTCCACTGTGCGTGGGTCACGTCTTTGAAGGCTGCAGAAGAGTAGCCATCGCAGATTTCCTCTCATGACTACTTCTATCCATGCTGAACAGCGCGCCTGTTCACGAACTTTCTGTCGTGTTAAACAATACTTTTCAATATATCATGTAAAGTTATATTTTATGAAAGCATTTCTCTTTTGCGACTTGCGATGATTACTCATCGATACAGAATTTGAGATATGAATTGTGAGAATGGAGTTTTTGTGCAACAACTATGTAGTGATTAGCGAAAATCACTCAGTCGGAAGTGTAGATTAATCTCCTTTGTTTTCTGACAGGCGAATGCTTACGATAAACTGAGCGAGGTGGAGCGGCAGCTGATTTTTTTGCATCAGCTGAAGAAAATTTACATTTCTGAAACACGAAAATCTGCGCATTCAAAAACGGCACAGAAAAAGGTTCGTCAAATTCCTATTTGTACTGTAAAATAACCGTGTAAAAATTTCTGAAATCTTGCCAAAAGGTAGCCAGCACTGCAAGCGCATCCCTCTTATGCGAACACTGATCTCGGACCATGCAAAATCGGAAACGATAACAATTTTTATGCGTTTTTGCATATATGTAAATTGCAAAAACGCATATTGGGAAGAGGCTGTCTGT